GAGTCTTGAGGATGTTCTGTTCCCAGGGCATGTGGAGGCGGCGGTGAGGAAGACTGAGCAGAGATGAGAAGACACATCCTTTAGTCCTGTGGAACTCAGCACCAAATGCGTTCTCTGTAGATACCATAGAGTCAGAGAAACTTCCGGAAGCTGGAGATGGCAGTCTTCCACCAACCCTGGGAAATGGCGTTATACTTTCAACATGCTTATGCATAATACGCATAAGCAAAATGTCAACGAGGCAAAAACTGAAGAACTGTTAACCACTCAGCAAATATTAACTATGTGTAGCTGGGAGGAGGCAACTTATAAGAAGCTATAGGCACCACTATACACCAAGGGACCTCTGATGAGTGAGGAAGACTCTCGGAAAGCATCCAGACCACAGGCTGCCTCTTCCTGCCCAAAGCCAGGAAAACGTATAAAAATCTCTCCACCACAGCAGCGCAGAGCACCAAGGCAGTCATAATCGATGCAACCGAGGTACCTGCAAAGCTGGAGAAGCAGCACGCCTTCGAGAAATTTCCACTTCTGCATGACTTACTGACACCAAGCGAGAGAGAGCTCGATGCAAAATACAGATGAAACAGACACACAGGTCCAAAATACTGGACTTGAAGAGCAGAGATCTGAGTAACTGCAGACAGGGACTCGGAACCCCTGCTATCTGTGTATTAGTCCCGATTCCGCAAACAGCAGATAACACAAACCCAGAATGACAGCAGAGAAGTAAGACTCAGACCAGAATCAGGAGAAAGCCAGAGCTCAGAGCCATGTCTAGCCCAGGTGAAGGAGGTTAGAAATCGACACCGGAACCACAGTAACACCTGCAGAGTGAACAGCACTGATCGGAGGGAGAAGGTACTGTACTGGAGAGGGAACGCCTATCCAGATGAGGAGAAAGAAAACAAATCCAACTAGTAAGAGTAAGGGAGAGTCTGCACGTTGAGAGACTTCTGCAGAGACAGTCCTGACAGGAAGAACAGCCGGCAGGACTGCAGACTGCTCTGCCTCTTTCTACCAGCAGAGGGAGGGAAGCCAAGACACAGCTGGAGTGTGACCAAGCAGAGCTGAAGTTTGGGGAGAGACTAAATTGAGCCTGCAGGACGGACTCCAGGTTGCCCTGACAATGGGAGCCCCCACCCCGTACAATCTTGCATGATAATGAGAGAAGCTACATGCAAATCAAGTTCCTAGTAGTCAATGGCGGAGCAATGCAAGGTCACAGGAGGCTTTCAGGAAGAGTCTGTGCAGCAGACAAGGGATGCAAACGCCAGGGAAGCATTTAAGCTACACAGAGAAAGGCTAAACTGAGTCTGCGTGTGTGAGAGAGCTTCTGTGTAGAGTCACCCTGAAGGTTCTCCTGATCACTTGGGCGTAACTGGCGCCAATAAATCTTACCTATTTGTTGCGACCATTGAATAGAAGAGGCATTGGACTGGGAAACGGGGACTTCCCTTTTCTTTGTGGCCTTTGTGAGGAAATACAGCAGCTGGGTGGATTGGGCCTACCCAGAATGAGGAGTAGAAAGGGAAATCAGTTACCTGCACATCTTATTAGCAGTGGTGGTAATAAAGGCACGTGGGTAATTTTTCTCTAGGTACAAAGATACGTATATGTGGACGTACTTAGAGTGACTAGTTGTTCATAGTTAATTCAATGGTGGGCAACCCATTCTAATACATACGTAAAATGTTGCCATTACAGAACCTTGAGTTAAAATTAAAAGCAGAAAAAGAAATACTCAGGTATTGCTGACATGGGATACCAGAATCCGCCATTTGTCAGCCACGATCTCTCATCTCACACTTGCAATGGGCGCATGCGGGAGCGGAGAGGCAGGTGAATCAGTCTGTACTATTTGAATTGTTACTTTCCTTCTCCCAGATCCTCTTTCCTGTTCAAGGTGAATGGCTGAATTTGGGTAAATTAAAAGTATTAAAAACAAGACAACAGCCCCAGAACAAAGTCACTTATGCTAAGCCCCATGTCACCAGACCAAAACTTAATTACAGTGTTGGCCTCTCCCACAAATGGGATCTTACAGCCGAGAACAGGAATTGCCTGGTCAGCACCAGTGAGGGCACCTGCCCGATCAAAGCCCGCCACGCCCTAAAGCAAAGTGACCTGGGCACAGCCAATCCGCTTTTGACTAGTGTAACCTGCTGGTCCTGCGCCCTTCTGCCTTTCATTTTGTACAGCTCCTCCAAGCTCCTTTCCAGCTGCTAGGCGGGCTGCTACCCAAGTCACGAATGGTTGAATAAAGTCAATAACATCTTGAAAATTCACTCAGTTAAATTTTGTTTTGTTAACAAAAGTTGGTACGATGTGACTCCACTATATACTGAAAACCCTGTGCCCACCAGTGTGAAGAGTCCACTGCTCTGAACCTTCCTCCAGTAGCAGACGAGCCTCACTCCTGGATGTATGTACATCCAGCTCCGTTAAGAGAGCTCTGCCTGGGCCACATGTCACACCCCAGTCCCTCAACTGAAGCCTGGGCTTTGCTGGCTCTTTCTCTTCCGATGGAGCCAGACTTTGTCCCTGTTCCACTGGCTGAAACTTGGATGCCTTTTTTCATCCAACTTCTCCTGAATCAAGGGGTAGTTATCCACTTAACTGTGACTCTCACCACTGCCCATGGACTCCTGGTTCCACACTCTGTCCCAAGATCCAAGGCTTTGGAAAGTGATGTCATTTCAAAGCAGACATGAGTTCATCCTGCCACACGAGAAGCCATCCGCCTTTTGGAAGCCAGCCCTACAGCTCAGTGAGGTCCCTCAACCCTGGTTCCAGCCACAGGGGTAGGCAGTAGCGGGCCTTCGGGAAACTCAAGTTCAGTGACTGATCAGCTTCACAGTCAGAGTTACTGTGAGTCTGTGGCCCTGGGAATCCATGCAACGAAAGTTTTCAGAGGACCTGCAAAGTGACCTCTTCCCCCTGCTGCCTTGGTAGAACAAACCTAGAGAGAGAGCAAGTTCACAGTCTCTGCGTGACTCCCCCCACCCTACTCATGTTGGATAGATAACCAGAAAGTGACTGGAATTTGAAGAAATACCAGGAGAGCAGGGATCAAGGTACTTTTTTGCTCCCCATTCCCCTAGGGCCTAGCACAGTGTTCAGCACTGAACAGAAAGAATGAAGGAAGGACAAAGGAACTAATGCAAGGGATGAGCAATTCCTGCTTATCTCAGTAGGTCTGAGCCTTGGCTCCAGAGGACCAACAGACCTCGCCTGTATCTTCAAATGCAACGCTTCTCCTTTCAGGCTTTCAATGCACTTATCACATCACTTAGGTGAGTCTTCACATATAACTGAAATACATCACTCCCAAAGCCCCACAAATGACCCCAGCCACTGTGGGGCCGGTGCTGTAATTCCCAGAGGTGCACGGCTAACCTGAGTGACACAGCCTCAAGACAACTTTCACATCTCAAATGAGGAGCGACTGGGCTCAGCAACCTTGCCTCCCTTCGGTCCTTCCTGCCATCCCCGCAACCAGTGAGAATCCCAGAGTGTCCTCAAGGTTTTCTAGGTCACACACAACTCCTGGGCTTGCTGAGCATAAGCTGGTCTGCGGGACTTCATCACTGCCCTGAAGAGCTTTGGCGTAACTGCCGCTAGGTCTTTGCTGCAAAGCTCCAGATGCATGGGAATAGGTCCAAGTCAGTGATGGACGTTTACTAGCAACTGCCCATGCCTTACGCAAACCCTGGCTCTTCGGACATGACAATCTGGTTGAGTGTCTCCTGAGACAGCGTTTCCTTTCCCTCCAGTACAGATTATGTCCAGAAGTCCTTCCAAAGGAGGCATTTTGTAAGCCACCCTGTGTCCCACCCAACACATTGATCCAGATGGAATCAGGCCAAAAGGAAACCGAAGCCACCGTCAGGTAAAAGCAGGCTGTGGGAGTGCCAGTAAGGGGGATAATAATCCCAAAGGTATCTGCCTCGAGGTGGGCTGCCCAGAAGGGAACAGACCTTTGTAAGCACCTGTTAGACAAAGACAACCTGCCAAACTGTTCTGTCCACCTAGGTCTCCTACGCATCAAACCACACACCTCCCCGTCCTGTCATTTTAGAACTTAGACTCTGGACCACGACTTTTATGACTTGTTAAGATCAGACTCTGGGAGGTGGGAGACACCTCAGTGGTCACCCTGCCTGACTTCTGTCCCCATGCAGGGGTCCCCTAACATCCCTGACAGTCAGACAGCCTTGCCTTGTACACCAACTCAGAACCTTCCAAACATGCCTGATCATACGAATCACCAGGGGCATATATAAAAAATTACAGCTCACCAATGCATCAAAGCCACATGAAATCAATGCCTCTAGAGAAAGGGCCTGTGAATCAGAATTTTTCACAAGCATCCCTAGCGAGTCTTACAATTAAGCATGTTTCTCGTGTGCATGTCATGCACTGGTTCTTGACAGTGGCTACGTATTCGAATCAGCTGGGAAGCTTTAAAAAAAATCAATAACAAGCCTTTATCCCCAGCGATTCCTACTTAATTTGTCTGGAGTCGTGCCCAGGTGGTGTAAATTTTTAAAGCTCCCAGCTGATTCTAATGTGTGGCCAGGGTTGAGAACTAGTGTAATATCTTCCCAGGCCAGTGATAAGCTCTTTGAAGACAGCAACCAAGAAACCTATGCCTCTTGGTTCCCCTCACTGAATCCCACCACCAGGGTGAACTAGTAGCAGAACATACTCTCTAAGGGCTGAGTCGATCTGATTTAACTAGCATTGTTCAACCGGCAAATAAGGCATGCAAATTCCTAACCATATTAAGAAGCTGTATACTTAACAAGAGGCCAAAAACCAGAGTGATATGAACTTCTAAGCCTTACCACTCTTGAGTCTGTGCGTGTGTGCACACACACACACACCCACACACACACCCTAGCCTTCCCTTCCAGAGACTAACCAGCCCAAAACAACACCAGACCGCATCCCACGACCCTTCCCTCCTGCCCCTGCCCCTCGCCAGCCCTACTCACGTTGTACAGCACAGTGGTCCACCCTTCCATGGTGATGCACTGGAAGACAGTCAGCACGGCAAAAAGGATGTTATCAAACTGGGTGATCCCATCGTTGGGGCCGATCCAGTCCCTGCATTCATAACCAGCTGGGCAGCCCTGCACGCCGCACGGGTGAGGGGGGTCAAATCCTTCTAGAATACCTACAGACACATTTGGAGGGTGGGGGAATAAACCACGTGATGTTTAGCGCAAGCTGGAAAGGATCCCAGGAAGCCACAAGCACGCAAATTCTATTTCCCACAGAAAGGTCTGTCCTTCTTTGTCTCAGGCTCCAACTCCTCACATACCATGTGTTCAACCCAACATATCCCAACCTCCTCTGACAATGGAGCCTCTCCACATGTCCCCACCTCCACTTTCTGCAGGCCACATCTTCTGCTTTCTCCTGAGTACCACAGGAACTGACAAGGCAGAAGCTCACCGATTTTCTAACTTCAGATTCCAGGATAGACCCTGAGATCTTTCTGAGTTCCTTGGGGACGATTTTAAACAACAGTCCCTTCTGTGGGTCTTAACTCCTTGTCCTTACGGCCTAAATTCCTGGTCTTGAATGAGACAAAAGTAAAAAATAAAAATCCAATATGGAAGGTGTCCTTTGAAGATTCTTTTCATAAAAACATGGTACCTCATTGGGCTCCTTCAACCTCCCCCCATGCCCTGTCCTCCCAGGGCACTCTACTCAACGTGAAAAGAACACATAGGATACAGAGAGACAAGAATGTGGGGCCTGTGTACCACTCATCTCCCAGGCACCCTGCCAAGCCAAGCTCAGGGCTCCCTCAGTTCTCCCACATTGCGTGGGGCGTCACAGCCGAGAGGGGGAGGTCAGAGCTGGAGCATGGAGGGGAAATTCTTCAAGATTTGGAGGGCCCCAAGTCTGACTCTGGACCCTTGGGTCTCCCTGGCTGTGTGCCAAAGAGGCCATGGTACAAAGGGTAATTCTTCAGTTAGTTTCCAACATGCCTTCTGATAGCCACGTACTGTGGGATGGGGGAGCTGAGACCTTCTATTTGAAATCCCCTGACTGTAAACCTAAGAGGCTTTGCTTTGCAGTATCAGTGCCCAAGGGGGATCTTTCATCTGGGCTGGTTGTGCTGCTGACTAGGAAGTTTCTGACTCTAATTCTAGGGTTGGGATAGGACACGCTTCTCCAACCAGCCTCCAAGTGCCCTGAAATTACCCCAGTGACCAGAGGAGAGAGGAAGGGAAGAAACAGAGGTCAGGAAACAGCGACCCTACCTGAATTGTTCATGAAGCATGCTCGGTGCAACTTCCCACTGTAGAACTCCAAGCCAATGATTGCGAACATCAGGATGGCAAAGAAGAGCAGAAGGCCGATCTGCAGAAGGGGCACCATGGCCTTCATGATGGACTTCAACACAATCTGCAGGCCTGAGAGGAAAAGACAGAGAGTGACCCCCGGAGCCCTCGCTGAGCACCACCAGGTACAGCAGGCTCAGGGTACCCTTTCCTATGAGAAGAAGGGCAAGTCTTTGAGGGAAAAACACCACTGGTCCTGAGATGATAAAGACAATTCGTAAAGGGATAACCAGGACAAGGCAAAGACCGCCATCACCCGTTCCCCTAGGGACCAGTCCCTTCCTCCTCTTCACCGTTTCCTGATAACTTACATGCCCATTACCCCTCCCTCATTTATTTCACCCACGTTGTCTTCCGGATTCCTCTCAAAGATGAAACCTATTAGAATGGGCTTCTTTCCTAAAGGGCATGTCCCTTTAGGACAAAGTTCATCTTCCCCACCACTCTGGCTCCAATCCAGCTCTCCCACCCACTGCTGGGGAAGCACAATTAGTACAACCACTATTCATAAAACACTACAGCCTTTCACGCAGAAATTATACTTCTAGCCTAAAAAAGGATCAGAGATTTGAATAGTATTTAGTAAAAAGATGTCTGTTGCAGCACTATTTCTAGTTAGGAAAAAACCGAGAAATAACCTAAATGAACAGAAGCATAGAAAAAGACTACATAAGTTATGACCCATACAAGACAGACTATAATACAGATTCTAAGATCATATTTTTGAAGAATTTTTAATGTCAGGAAAATCAACTGCTTATGGTGAAATCCAAAAGCAAATATATCCCAACTACATGAAAATGCACAGTAGAAAAGAAT